CCCTTATCAGACTTCGGCTATTCCAGTCTTCTTCTATGCGTCTCATGGCTATCCTCAGGGCATCAAAGTCATGGAGACTCTCATGAAGATAACCTGAGGCATCCTTAAGGGCAGGCTTCATTCCACACCAGAACATGGTACAGAGCATGGAATTGGCATGGGACTTCTCCACTTGTCCACTCTCGATGGCATTAGACAGAAGGTCCTCAAGGCGGCAACTCCATGAAGCAACATCCTCATCACTGTGTTGTCTCGCACTATAAAACTGCGCTAACAACATCTCAGCTTGCTGGACATTACCAAACACGCTGTCCATCTTGTCAAGTATTTCCTGGACAGAAGCTGATGGGTCAAGGTGAGAGCGAACTGGTAAGGCATTTCCTCTCAGGGAACTTCTGATGGCTTGCTGTATAGTTGCAGGTGGATGTCCTTCCTTGATGATACATTGGACCTCGCTCCGCCACACATCATAAGCAATGTCTTTTTCCTTCTTGCTGTCCCCAGAGAATGGTGATATCTTGGGAAAGTGTTGCATCGTCCCTGTAGAGTATGGTGGCATCATGTGCATCATGGTAGGCTTAGACTCTTCAGCTTCAGCTAATGCTGCTGTAGTACCCTGCATCCATACTTGGAAATCCTTCAAAGTATCTACTTTGGGCTTGAGCTTCAGAGTCTTCATGTGCTCCAGGAGCTTCTGCACTTCATCCTCTGTTATGTCAGACATGGTTAGAGATGGGAGGTCCAGCAACAGAAATACTACACAAGTAACTCTCAACAGCATCCAAATACCAGGTAATATAGCTAGGTGTTTGTCTCAAGAAAATAATAACTCAATATCACAAGAAATTGTGGGCAGCACTATAGAATGCGAGTGCAAAATAGTTACTACTGAGTATCATATAGGACAGAGTGACAATACGTGTACTATGGTATGATTCAATATGTAAATAAATCCCTCAAAATAATCAAAATATCAATGATATAAAATGGTTTAGGGATATACATCAAAGGTAGTACACAAGTAGAGGTAAGACAAAAATGGTACCTCTTTAATGTACACTGGTAGTAGCCATGTCACACTTTATATCAATGTGCAAATATGCACACAAAAATATTGGATTTGGAATATTAAGCAAAATAGTAAATCCAATTTGGAACACAAATAAACGAGAAAAAAAACCCCATAGAACACTGAACACAGAGTACTGAATATATAAGGATAAATGATGTGTGACACAACTACAATCACAACTGATCATCGTCAAAAATATGATCAAAATTTGTGTAAATAATCTAAGTACATGTCTTGCAGTAGTATTACGAAAATATCAATGATCAGAATCAGAAATTTATTCCAAATAAATTGTCCATCTGAATTTTAAGTTCATCATGGACGCCACCATCTTGGGGAATACATCTGGATCACTAATATACTGGTATATAGTCTGAAAAGTACTGAAGAGATCGTTAGGGGCCTCCAGTTATTTATATTATCTAGGCTTTCAGATCTCTTAGGTAGTAGGATTGACCGATTTTCTTTGACTGCATCGGGAACCTTTCCTGCGCATAGGCAGATATTGAATAGGTTGGCTGAAAATTCTCCACTCGGATTGACCTTGATAACAAATTTGAGGTCAATGCGTTCAGGACCAGCCGACGTACGTTTGTTCGCTCTTGCGAAGGCACTCCAAACCTCCTCCACACTGATTGATTTTACCAACCTCTCATTATTAACAGGGTCTGTCATTGGATAAGCCGACAAGTCGACTTCTTGAGACCTACCACCGAAACGTTATTCGTATGTGGCCTTTACGATATTTGGCATTTTTCCGTACTACCTTTGTCATCGATCAATTCTGGGTGTAAGTTGTGACTAACGTAGGGACGTCGTGGCCTTAAATTGAACTCCCGCAACCGAGTCCTAACTGTTCTTGGACACACGGCGTGCCTACAATTAGTGTTGGGTATCATTTCAAAATTTCACGATCGAACATCACTTGATCAAAACGATCGATGATCGACTAATTTTGCAGTGTATACTCTAGCAAGTTAGTACGTATATTTACATATTTTTTTTCATATTTTGTCAATAAAAATAATTTTTAAGTTGTAATGTTATGTAACTGCTTTGCGTTTTCATTAAAAGATATCCTGGAGTGGTTTTCTTTTGTTAAGACATCTCAACTCGACTCAGTTATAATATTGACTTCTTGTCTGGTTTTAATAACAAAACAGAAACTTCATAACTGAAAAAAAACATCAACAGTTCAATAAATTAAAAATTTTAAAGAAAGTAAGTTCAGGTAAATTTCAGGATTTTTTTTTCACATCAAGAAATTTAGCCTGTGTACTAAGTGTGACAGTTAAGTCAAACTCATTATAGATGTTTATACTAGCAAATGAGTTAACACACAATATATGGTATGGTGCAGTTAATGTTAAAACCCAGAGAGTAGAAGTAAGGGTTACAATGTTACTTTCCAAAAGGAAAAATGTCTGCTTATAGGTCAAGTTAATTTAATGATTGTATGACTTTGAGTTTTTGTGCTGAAAAATCATTTTGTTCACATTGTCCGGAGACAGTTGTGATCTCTTTTTCCTGACAATGTTGCAAGCAAGACTAAATATACGTTCAGACGGCACTGAAGATGCTGGGAACTTTTTGGCCACTTTTGCCGCTCGTGGATAAAATATTTCCTTCTACCACTCTAGACCAGAGACACTACCTTCCTCAGCAATATATCGCTGAACTTCCTGCTCCGCCAAAACTTCTTCTGGGATGCTACCTGCTTTATAGCCACAAACAATGACGTCATCAAGCCAGTCACATTCACTCTCAACCTTTTGCTTTTTGGAAGGGTTAGTCTCAGGTGTACTATTCTGCTTTTGGTCTGTATTGTTAGGATCTACCTGGGATTCAGAGAGAGGAAGTTCTGGTAGTTGAGGTAATGTAGCTACGGCTTGGTCATCATCATCTTTTTCCTTCTTTATTACAACTGATGTATTTCTTTGACTTCACTTCAGTCAAAAGCAGCCCATGTGCTCGGTCTCTTTCTTCTAATGACGGGAAAGAAAGGTGTTTTGTTTTTGGGTGCAGAAGCGATGCAATAAGAGCTATCTCAAATTCAGTACCAAACCGACTTTCTAATTGATTCTGCATTTCTCCCTTAACTCGCTGGACGATACTGATGTCGTCCTCTTGAATCTGAATCCCCTGGGAAAGCTTCCTCATAATGTAAAATGGACTATATTCCAGGTCGCTATATTCCTGCTGGTACAGACGTTCACCAGTCGCTTCCTTTTTTACCAATCGTACATCAGGCCAGTTCTGAATTCTGACGTTATAATTGTGCGTCGTATCGTTTCTAAACTAATTATTCATTCTAATAATTTCCCAAAAACTGAATGTTTATCACAAGAATACTTCAAGTTGCTGTCTGAAATAGGTTACGTAGGTGTGAGAGACGTATGCCCTGATCTTAACGTGGCGTCGTAACGCGTGGATGTCCGCTCCTGGGACGGTCAGCCAATCTTCCCGTGGCCCTGAGATGCCCAACTAATCGAGCTATCGTTGACTCATGGACTCCAAATTGCTGGGCGACGAGACGTTGCGATTGGCCCTGTAGAATTCGGGCAATAGCCCTACCCTTATCAACTTCGGACATTTGCGGCATGCTGCTTTTTTATCGCCTTGGAATGAAATGTTGTGCACTGGATGTGTGTTGTTCAAAACTTGGATTTGGTATGGTTTTCAAGTTGATAGCACGTGGTAGTGCTACGGACGCACGCTTTGTTGGAAAATCTGTTCAAATCGTGCAGCGTCGCCCGTGGTCACTGTAGACCAAATTTAAACTGACGATTATTTAGACAGTACACTAGGCATGTATGTGTCATATATCACAACATTTCGTCTACGGATGAAAAAAATACCAAAACTGAACTTGCGTTTCTTTTTTCCGCTAGTATACATATGGTCTTTGTCCATTTCGTTGCTATATGTACAATTCAAAGCAAACCAACATATAAAGTGTTACTAATTACAGGGTTTTTTATCAAACTTTCAATTAAGTTTGAAATACTTTACGTACTTGTATGAGAACTACATTTTCACTATCATAGCAAACAGATGGTAACGAAAAGTGACAATAATCTGGTTTCTATTAAAAAAAGTACACGAACCTTGTAACTATAACTTCTTAGATATAAAGTATACAATTTTATTGTGATTACTCGTCATCTTCCGACCATTTACATGTGTAAACCGTTTTATGACATTGTTTGTTTTAATACGTCACCGCGAAAACTGTTTTTACTTGAAACCATAACAGAGAACAGACGTGCGTTTTCTGCCAGAAAGTAAATCTATTTCACTTAAAAAGTGTATTTAATTTCTACTGAAGAGGAACAGAAAATGAAACACTTTGACCAAAAGGTTTTGTGTGATTTTCATTCCCCTTTAGTTTAATACCCTAACCTCGAATACCATGAGATAATCTGATGGAACAGACAACGGAAACGCGAATACGGGATGGGATGGCGATATAACTTGGTCTGGCATTTTCACGTTATTCACACGTCGCCAGAGAATCGCCCCACGTCGATTGGACCGGTGACGGGCAGAGTCAAGGAGACGAGAAACCACCATCATATTATACAGTACTGACATAAGAGAACGGAAGTCAACAGTATATTTCCATTAAAACGAGACGACGATTCCAATTTAATTCTTAATTTGACATCACTGCAATCATTTGATCTGTAATTCGTACTTCAGTTATGGTATACCTGAAACAAAACGATTGATACGATATCACTATTATATGTAACAATCCGTGCCACAGGCCAGCACAGGTAACCAACACTCTATCTCGGTGTCCACCAAAAATATACCGTCTATTATCATCGAGTACGTACGTACCGATAGTCACGTAACTGTAATGTTTGGGGTTTAGCCCCGCAGACGAACACAACACCATGTGGTTTTCAGTATAGCGGTTTTATTGACGATCCCACAATGCCCCACACGGGCCACACTAACATCCAGAGCCGAAGCCGGATTATCTTATACACAACATCCCTCCCCCTTTTGGTAAAGGAATCCCTATTTCCTGATCAATTACTTTTAACCATGTCCATATGTGTAAACCAGGAATGTAACTATTTGTTACCTCAAATTAAGTAAATAAAACTGACCGTGACTTCAAAAATAAATTCTTGAACCAAGTCTCTATATCCACATGAAAATGGAGCTTAACCACAAAACAACTTAACCAGGTCCATAAGCTTAAAGCTTAACAATAAACAATTAACACATGCTCCAATTCATGTTCGCACGAAATCCTTCAGGTAACTTGGTGGGTGCCTGGTCCGTTCAGGTTGCGCTGGTCTTTGTTCTGGTTTCGAACTCACAACCTCGGGTGTACTGATGGAACCATTCTCCACAACCGGTGTTTGGCTTGAAGTAGAGACCACCACATCCTCAAGTTCCTCTGGAAGTTCGACCTTCACCTTGGAAGATAAACTGTGTCTCTGACGAATATGATCAACATGACGACGTTTGACCTTGGCATCACCCTCCCTAACTGCATAGGACACTGGTCCGTTCTTTGATGATATTTCACCCGATAGCCATTTCGGACCCTTGTAGAAGTTCTTTACCCAGACTTGATCTCCAGTACTAAAAGTACGTTCCTTAGAATGTTCATCATGATAGGTTTTCTGACTTGTTTGACATTTCTTGACCCGATTTCTGACCTCAGGTCTCACTAGATCAAGTTTGGTTCTGATACGCCGCCCCATCAGAAGTTCTGATGGTGAGATTCCCATTGTAGTGTGCGGAGTTGACCGATAGGCTAGTAGAAATCTACTCAATTTCCGGGTTAGGTTGCCCTCAGTGTTTTGCATTTTTTTCATACCTTCCTTGAAGATCCTAACGGACCTATCCGCCAGCCCATTTGATGAAGGATGGTGGGGGGATGTCTTTACATGTAACACTCCATTTTCAGACATGAATGCTGCGAACGCCTCGCTAGTAAAACATGGACCATTGTCTGACACCACCATCTTGGGTAAACCATGTGTTGAGAAACATTCTCTCAATTTGTCAATTGTCACTTCTGATGTTGACGTTTTGGTAGGATATACGTCTAACCATTTGCTGTACGCGTCTACGATGATGAGAAACATCTGACCTAAGAATGGACCTGCATAGTCCATATGAATTCTAGACCATGGCCGTTCAGGCCAATCCCATGGATGTAAGGGGGCCACTGCAGGAATCGAACCTTGTGCCTGACAATCCTGACATCCCTCGACCTTACTCTCGATGTCTCTATCGATCCCTGGCCACCAGAAGTAGCTCCATGCCAATTTCTTCATACAGACCATTCCCGGATGTCCCTCATGAAGTTCCTCTAACAATTGTTTCTGTCCAATTGTAGGAATTACTATGCGTGTTCCCCACATAACACATCCGTCATAAGAACTGAGTTCTGTTCTACGTGAATGAAAAGGTTTCAAGTCTTCCTCACCACATTTGTCCATCCAACCTGTTTGTACATAGGTTAGCACTCGACTCAGCAGTAAGTCATTGGCTGTCCAAGACTGGATATTTTGGAAATCTACTGGAGTACTGCCCAGATAGCTGATCAGTAGAGTTGTCTCCCCTGGAGTAGGTATTTCACCAACTGTGTCCTGGAGGGGTAAGCGACTTAATCCGTCTGCATTGCCATTCGTGGATCCCTTCTTGTATTGTAAGTCATACTCATATGTCGATAAGAGTAAAGCCCAACGTTGAATCCTGGCTGATGCCATAGTAGGAGTAGGTTTGTCCACCCTAAATAAGCCTAATAGGAGTTTGTGATCCGTGTAGAGTACAAATCTGCGTCCATACACGTATTGGTGGAATTTTCCGACTCCAAATATGAGGGCAGCGCCTTCCTTATCAATTTGTGCATAATTACGTTCTGCTGGCGCTAGTGTATGTGAAGCGTACGCGATGGGTCGTTCCCTACCCTGCACTCGATGCGAGAGTACTGCCCCCAGTCCATAGGGTGAAGCGTCACACGAGAGTATCAGTTCCTTTTTTGGGTCAAAATGCACTAGCAAAGCATCCGATTGCAGCATCTCTTTGGCACATGTAAAAGCTTCTGTTTCTTCTTTTCCCCATTTCCATTTGCTTTCCTTTTTGAGTAGTGAGTATAAAGGTGACAACACACTACTAAGGTTTGGCAAATAACATGCATAATAGTTCAGAAGGCCTATAAATGCTTGAAGTTCTTTGACATTCTGCGGTGCAGGTGCCTCCTTAATGGCTCTGACTTTCTCGGCTATGGGTTGGATTCCCATGCTGTTGATTCTGTGTCCCAAGTAGACTACCTCTTCAGCCAGAAATACACACTTTGTCTTTTTCAATCTCACTCCAGCTTTGTCTAACCGATCAAGTACTGCAGATAGGTTTTTCAGGTGATCCAGTTTATCCCTCCCCGAGATTAAGATGTCATCTACTCTCACTACAACATGCGGTATTCCCTGTAGCAGGTTTTCCATGACACGTTGAAAGATACCAGGACTCGACGACACCCCATAGGGTAGACGGTTGTATTGGAAAAGCCCCTTATGTGTGTTTATTGAAGTATACCTCTTAGACTCTTCGTCCAATTCCAGCTGTTGATAAGCTTGGCTAAGATCCAACTTGGTGAAGTGTGATCCACCTCCCAAAGATGCATAAAGGTCCTCTGTCTTAGGAATAGGATAATTGTCTAGTTTAGACACCTTATTAACTGTGACTTTGTAATCACCACAGATCCTGAGGCTACCATCTCCCTTGACGATGGGAACGATGGGCGTGGCCCATTCAGAAAATTCCACAGGTGAGATAGTTCCTTCTGACACCAAGCGATCAAGTTCATGCTCTATCTTGTCCCGTAAAGCATAAGGTACAGGCCTGGCCTTGAAGTACAAAGGCTTCTGAGAGTTGTCCACATATGACTTGGCCTTTGTTCCCCGGATAGTACCTAAACCATCCTTAAATACACATTCATGTTTTCTCAAAATGTGATCAATCTGATCCTCTGGTGGATCTTGCTTGACTTGAAATATCTGGCTCCAATCCAACTTTACCTTAGAAAGCCAATTCCTTCCAAGAAGACTAGGGTAGTCTCCCTTTACAACCACTACAGTCAGTGTTCCTGTATAGTCTCCATACTTCACTGAGACTTCCCCCTCACCCCTCGTTGGGATGGGTTCACCAGTATAAGTCTTTAGCTTTACTGCAGTGTTTCTAAGCTTCACCGGCTTACCATTTTTGTTGATGTCTGCCCATGTGTTTTCTCCAATCACTGTGACAACAGCTCCTGTGTCTACTTCCATAGAGACATCCTGGTTGTTGACCTGTAGGGTTACTTCATATCTATCTTTTTTACCAACTTGGTTTATGTTGTACATGGAATATATACACTCCTGATCCTCCCTCCTGTGGTCAGTTGACTGTAGCATATGTACTGGGGTTGATTTATGGTGTTTACCTTTTGTATCTTTATTTCGCAGTCGACTCGGGCATTTTTCCTTTATGTGACCTTTTTTCTTACAGTGAAAACATTCACTGTCCTTAAAATGACAAGTTTTTGGGTCATGATTTCCTCCACACCTATAACATGGTTTTTGGTGACCTTGTTGACCTTGAGACTGGCCTCTAGACTGACCTCGACCTTTCTTACCGTGACGTGCGCTGCGAGTGTTACTGTTACCGCGATTACTATCACTAGAGACTTTGTTGACATTGTTCTGTCCCTCGGACCTCAATCCGTGTCCCTGCAAATCTATGACATTTTTCGCTGCTGTTTCCATAGACAACGATATTTCATATGCCCGTTTAAAAGACAGTTCTTTTTCAGATAAAAGACGTCGCTGTATTCATTAACACCACATACAAGTCTATCTCTTATCATGGTTTCAAGCATCGTGCCATACTCACAATGCTCTGATAGATTCCTCAGTGCCGCTATATAGTCAGAAATGGACTCACCTTCTTTTCTGAAGCAATTGTTAAATTTATATCTTTGCACTATCTCTGATGGTCTGGGTGCATAGTGGTTTTGCACTATCTGTACCAGATCCGCAAAGGATTTCTCACTGGGTTTCACTGGAGCTAACAAGTCACTCATAAGTTTATATATGCGTGGACCACATAAGCTAAGCAATATTGCTCGTCGTCGTATCAGGTCGTCTGCTTCCTCAGTAATGCCGTTCGCGACAAAGTACTGAATTAGACGTTCCGTATAGTGCTCCCATGACTCGCCGGATTCTTCGTAGGTGTCGATTTTACCGAATGCAGCGGTCATTTTCCCAGCTCACCGTTTACCTCGTCGCCAATGTAATGTTTGGGGTTTAGCCCCGCAGACGAACACAACACCATGTGGTTTTCAGTATAGCGGTTTTATTGACGATCCCACAATGCCCCACACGGGCCACACTAACATCCAGAGCCGAAGCCGGATTATCTTATATACAACAGTAACCATACCGTGTAAGTCGACCGGAGGACAGACAAATCGGGAACGGGTAATTTAAGTTGTGTACGTACCGATAGTCACGTAACCATACGGTGTAGGTCGACTGGTGGGCAGACAGAACGGGTAATTTAACTTGTGTGCATACCGATAGTCACGTAACCATACGGTGTAGGTCGACTGGTGGGCAGACAGAACGGGTAATTTTTTTTTATAATTTTTATTTATCCAAAAACACATGAGAAATAAATAGATACATATCATTCTTTAACTCCTATCGTCGCACACTTAAAGAGTATAGTCATGCATCATTTTCACCACTAAACACACAGCATTTTGAGTTGCACACTATATCTTAACTATCATAGACACTATTTAACACAATCACTCTAAACATATAACTTGCAGCTATACTAGTACTCCAGCATTATCACATACAAACAACATCAGCATCTGACATCAACGTCATCATATACAATCATCATCCTCGTCACACATTAGCATCATCACATACCATCAGCATCATGATGGTCACCTATCAACATTAGCATCATCGGCATTATCACATACCAAAATCAGCATCGTCACACATCAACATCATCATATATACCAACATCAGCAGCATCACACATCCAGCATCATAATTTCACATACTAACATCAGCATCACCACCCAACAGCTTCATATATCAGCAATACATATCAGCAACAGTATTATCATATTAATATCACATATCATCAGCAGTAGCATCATATATCTACATCATCACACTTTAACCTCCATGCATAAGGATGCTGCAGATTCTTAGACACAGTCAACATCATTATCTTCATCACCAAGCATACATACATAGACATGCTAAGTTCAGTAATTTCTCCATAAACTAGAATGGACTTAAAACAAGTGAGCAACTAACAGCTGTCACTATATCACTGTAAGATAAAATGTTCCTAGATATAATGAAATAAACAAATACAAAACGAAACATGTGATGATTTTTTTTATTTATTAGAGAGAAAGAGGGAAGGACAAAGGGGGGGTAAAGAGATAGACTGGTTAAGAATACTTTGTAGATGAATAGAGTAAAACTTTTTTAACTATACCTGATAAAAATTACAAGTATTTTAATTATATCAAATACTGCCAAGTCCAAGGGGAGGAAAAATGTTTAATGATGGTATTAATTTCATTATCAATTTTGCTGTACAAATTTTTAAATGGCCAGAAACCAAAGAAAAGGGACTGCTTGTTGACAGAAAAAGGGATTACCAGTGCTTCTAAAAGAATTTTTAAACTTTGTAAAACATTCTGGACTTTTTCACAATCCCACAATATATGTGTTAAAGTTTCAGTCTCGGGCAAACAAAAAGTACAGAGTGGACTATCTACTTTCTTCACCTCATACAGAAATAAGTTTGTAGTCAAAGTGTAAAGTAAGTCTCTGTACTGAAACCAATGAAGCTTATAATTATTAGTAATCTTAAAAAGTAAAGAAAAGATACTTGCCCAAGTGGATTCCTCAAAGTTAAACTGTTCAGCCCATTTCTTTCTAACTTTTTTATAAAACATCTATAAATATCATTTGTCCCTTTTGCCCGTAAGAAAAAAGGTTCAATGTTGCAAGGAATAAAAGGCAAGGAAAAATCTGAATCCTCATCCATATGCAGGTCAGCATTCTTCTTAATAGAGTTTAAGATTCCTTGAAACCTAAGAAAATTTGTGACAATACCATATTTTTCGGAAAATTCATTAAAAGAGTAGAAAGAGACTGTATTTGAAACCTTTAACATGTCATTTACAACTCTAACGCCTTTTGAAAACCAGTCTTTGTAGAAAACAGAATGCCCACCTATAGTTAATTTTGGGTTATACCAAAGAGGTGTTTTCAGTGGAGAGAGTTGTCTACCTTTAATTTTGAGCTTTATGATCAGTAACTTTTCCCAAGCTTGGAAAACATCACTCCAAAATTTATTTTTACATTTTTCCTGACACTTTTTTTATATAATCACTTCCACAGTTCATAGCAAGATCAGTATTAATTTGTCTTTTGAATAAAATTTTCCACTTACTTGGAGAAGAACTTAAAACAAATCTCCTAATCCAACCTAACTTCAATGCATTTATGAAATCTGAGATACTTACCATCTTCAAACCTCCCTCTAAATAGTTTTTAATAATGGTCTTTTAATCTTTTCAGTTTTTCCATTCCATAAGAAGTTAAAAAGGATAGTATTTAAGTAATTACTGAACTTATTACTTGGATTTGGAACGGCAATAAATAAATAATGAAATTGTGAGATTAAAAGTGACTTAATGACATGTATCTTCCCAATTTGAGATATTATTCTTTTACTCCAAGATTTAATAAGAGATTTTAGTTTTGTCAATTTTTTGTCAAAATTTAGTTTAGGAATTTCATGCAAGTTTACTCTAAAATCAATCCCCAATAATGTAAATATATCCTTTCCCCACTGTAAGTTAAGCTCTGGTAAAATAGAATATTTCTTACTACCAATTCATATAGAACGGGTAATTTAACTTGTGTACATACTGATAGTGCAATCCTCATTTCGGCTTGGCAATGCTAGATTTTAAGTGGTGATACTAGATTTTTTGGGGTAATACTGGATTTTTTGGGGTAATACTAGATTCTTTGGGGTAATACTAGATTCTTAGTGGTAATACTAGATTATGTGGGGTAATACTAGATACTTTGGGGTAATACTAGATTCTTTGGGGTAATACTAGATTCTTAGTGGTAATACAAGGTTATGTGGGGTATTACCAGATTCTTTGGGGGTAATACTAGATTCTTAGTGGTAATACTAGATTCTTAGGGGGTAATACTAGATTCTTTGGGGGTAATACTAGATTCTTTGGGGGTAATACTAGATTCTTTGGGGTAATACTAGATTCTTAGTGGTAATACTAGATTATGTGGGGTAATGTTCATTTACAAGGGGGTCACCTGAGGAATATATGTCAATAATCTGGGGATTTTAAAATGTTGCAAAAATGTAAGAATACTTGTGCAGGACCATGTGTAAAACATCTGTACCAAGTTTGAATATGACCCACCCAATGGTTCTTGAGAGGAAGTCCATAATGTCTTAGCCAAACAGAGGCCAGGATGGCCATCTTGGATTTTGAATCGCCCCAAAAAGTTAAAACACTTGCCAGGACCTGGTGTAAACATTCAAATCAAGTTTCCCCTTTTCCCCCCATCCTGGGGCCCCTATTGGGGCCATGCCTTTTTCTTCGCACACTTGAAGCGGCTTCCCATGCAGATGCTTTGTGCCAAGTTTGGTAAATATCCATCCACTGGTTCTTGAGAAGTAGTCATTTAATGAAGGTTTTTACATATGGCCCCTTTTACACCCCTTATGGGCCCCAAAGGGGACATTATCACTTTTTTCAACATAATTTCATATCGTCTTCGCTAAGGGATGCTGTCTACCAAATTTGGTTGAAATGGGTCAAAGTTGAATTTTTTACCCTTTTGAGCGCCCCCTTGTGGGGCCGTTTTTGACCCATTTTTTTTTTTTTTATTCTCAAACTTTGTAGACCTTGCCATTAGGACCCTAAATATCAAATATGAATTTAATCTGACTGTTGGTTCATGAGAAGAAGATTTTTAAAGATTTACCTAATTTTACCCCCTTTTTTCCCCTCCTGAGGCCCCTATTGGGGCCACAGCCTTTTTCTTCGCAAACTTGAAGCGGCTTCCCATGGGGATGCTTTGTGCCAAGTTTGGTCAAAATCCATTCAGTGGGCCTTGAGAAGAAGTTGACTATGTGAAAAGTTAACGACGCACAACGACAGACAAATCATGATGGCAATAGGTCACCAAGAGCCTTCGGCTCAGGCGACCTAAAAATTACGGGTGATATAATAGATGTACGGATACTCAAAAAATCTTCCGGATGATAAAAGTCTTTTTGGGTATTTATTACCTGCTTTTCCAGTAACGTACCCAAAATCTTATCCATATTGTTTTTTACTATCTCTCCTCTCTATTTTCGACTTTACGGTAAACAGCATTATAGTACAGCCCAAAACATGGGTAGAGTCTTTACCATCTCCTACACTACGTACATCAGTGCTAGTTAACTCCACACTGGTCATATGATCGTGTAGTCACCGAAACATCACTCTCTAACCTTCTGCTGGTTGTATTTTAAGAACACTTATCTCTATCCACCTTTAGTTCCTTCATATTTTGATAGACAAACATTTCAGTAATAAAAATATTCCTTTGAAATGTTACTTTCTGCTGTTTCAAAGATACAACAATTTTGATTATCAAGATAAGGAAAGTGACATAAATCCCACGACTTATCTAATCATGACGGAACTCTTCATATGACGTCATCTTCCTCAAGGAGAAACTAAACCGCCAAACAGCCATGGGGGATAGTAGAAGTAAACACAATATCGCCTACAAATATTTGGGTTTTTTTAACGGATCAAAAATTTATCAAATACTCTGAGGTTCAATGTACACACGAGAAAAAGAAATATAATGTCACACTAACTTAGCCCTCTTGTATTGGCGTGACACACAAGAACCTGGCGGTTTGTAGATGAATTTACAATCTTTCAATGTCGCTTACATATAAATATCTGAACAAATATTGTCTATACTTTCACCTTTATTAATACTTATATACATATAGTGTTTGATGAAAAATAATGAATGTATTGAGCTGAACTGAAATAATAAAATTTCAACCCACATCGTGATATATAAAAAAAACTAAAGATGTTATGAATGAAAATTGTTTTATTACATATGAGCATTTATCATCTTTGACTTTATAGGATACCGTCAA